ATATATATATATATATATATATATATATATATATATATATATATATATATATATGACGTTTCGACGAAGTCACATTCGTCATCTTCGTGCTGAAGACTACTCCCAGAAGCACGAAGCTGAAGACACCAGCCTGAAGATGACGAATGTGACTTCGTCGAAACGTCGCCAAAACACTTCTAATTCTACGCGGGAGAAAACCTGAATAACTAAAGACCTACATATATATATATATATATATATATATATATATATATATATATATATATATATATATATATATATATATATATATATATATTCTAATTTTTGGTTGGCTAGCCTATCCTTCTTGAAGGCCACTTCTAACCAGAAACGAGTTCATTAATAGCAATGTACCAACCAAAGGATCTTTTTTTATAGGTGTATGTGTGTGTCTTTGAGTCATTTTTCTTGACAAGATTTCAGAAGTGGTTTTGCCCGTTCTTTCTTCTTAGGGCTGAGAAAGAGAGGGACTTGGTGCCTCAGCCAGGGCTAGAACTCTCAGTCTCCCAGTTTTTAGACTGGTGCCTTAACCATCAGGCCATCCAAAGAAGCAGCAATCTCGAAACTAACCTAAACTTTGGCACCGAGTCTGTTCTACATCTTTTTCCTATGAACTCTGATAGCTTTTAACAGGATCCTAAACTCACCTGGGTCCATAATATGCCAGGGTAAACTTTCTTTGCTAAATTGTGTCGTTTATACACAACAGAAGTACAAGTCAGACATTACAAGCAACAACCCTTAGTTAGGGGGAAGAGAGAAATGAATAAAAGAGCACATTTATTCTACACAGACTCTGTGTAACAATCTTGAAAATTGCTATGTTTCCACAATGACAAGAACAGAATTATTTCAAATGAGACTCTGCAGTGAAGCTGCTGATTTTAAATTTTAGCACCATCTCATTCCAAATGAGACTTGGATTCAAGAGTGTCTTGGATTCGATTGGAGATGAGTGGATCAGGTTAAATATAGCCTGGGACATTATTGTCTGTCGATGTCAACTCCTTCAAATGATAGAGGTGGGAAACACCTGAGTGCGAGATCCAAATACATGAAAAAAAAACTTACAGCCTTTGATACCACAACAGCTTCAGAATAGATCTCAAACAGGTCATCCTCAAAATGCAACCATTCATTTAGTGACCGTTCAAAATTTACAACAGGACTGAAAAAAAGTGACTTATGGCCATGGAGGCATCCCCACAGTCATGTGTGATCAAAATTGGAACACTTGGCAACTGGCTCCTATTTATGACGGTTGCAGTGTCCCGGGATCATGCAATCCCCTTTTGCAACTTTCTGACAAGCAAAGTCAATGGGGAAGCCACATTCCTTTAACAATTGTCTTACTAACTTAACAACTAAAAGGATTCACTTAACAACAGTGGCAAGAAAGATAGTAGAATGGGGGCAAAGCTCACTTAACAGCTGTTTCACTTGGCAACAGAAATTTTAGCGTCAGTTGTGGTCTTACATTGAGGACGTACTGTCATACTACCAAGGGTAGAACTTTCTGACCTCAAACCTCAGGACAAGCCAGCTACAAGAGGGAATCACCCACCGATTGCTAAGAAGAACCTATAGAGAGGTGGTCCCCAACCCTCGGTCCATGGACCGATACTGGCCCACGGCATGCCAGCAACCGGTCCGCACAAACAAGCAAAGCCCCATCCGTGGGATGCAGGCAGAACACAAAACCACACACTCTCTGGTCCATGGAAAAATCTCTCTCCACGGAACCGATCCCTGGTGCCCAAAAGGTTGGGGATTTCTGCTATAGAGAATCTGAAGGTCAAAGTGTCTTTGAGAGCTATTCAAAAGCTGCTATTGCTATAGTTGTTTCAGAGGCTAAATCCACCCCCCAAATGAATATGGAGAATTGTCCTTACTCCTGCATATATTCGTAATGGTAATACGTTCCATCAGTGTTACCTTTTTTTTAAAAAAAAAGAAAGAAAATCTGCATAACTTGTTCCATATTTTTTTTCCCTTTGCTTGTTTAACATAATATAATGCTGGCTGATTCTATGATTTACGCAATTATTCCAGTGTCTCTATTTACATTTATATGTGACTTTCCATCATAATATATAGGTATACCGCTTCTAAACAATAATGGACTTCATGATTATAGTTATCTATGCCACAACGGATTCTTTTGAGTAAATCATGTCATTTCCCTTTAGGAAAAGAAAAATAAATTTGGGTTTCATTCACATCCTTCACTGGGAAATGGTGGGCTTGCTAAGAATTTGCTATAACCGGCTAGAAATATCTATCCTTCATTGTTTATTCATTCCTTTTGAAACGTGTACCATTGCTTTGATCCATCGCTGATTTTTTTCCCCCTCCCAACTAGTGTTCTAGAGAAATGTGAGGCTAGATACTCAATGATATTAATTTGAATAAATGAGCACCATTTTTTTCCCCACCAGAAATGCCCTCATCTAAGACTTTTGACTGATGCCATATTATCACATAACATTACTCACAGGCTCTTCTGGGGAAAATGCTATTTGCCATTTGAGGAAGCCTTTTATCCCGACTTTCCAGCCCTGAATTTGAATTAAGTGTCCCCAGAGAGCATTCAGCTCATCCTTAACTTGAACCATGGATCATCACATTTAAGCCCCGTGTGCTAAATAAAGAACCCAGCATCTGAACATTTGTAGTGCTGTGCGCAACTACACATTGGCGAGTGACATTTTCTATTTTTCCTGTCACCGAGGTCAGCCAACCTGCTTTCCTCATATTAAAAGAACGGGGTGATTGATTCTTCAGAGTTCAGTCTGCACAAATGAACTCCATTAAATATAATTTACCATCTTCATGTTTATGCTCTCAGGACTTGCTTGCTAGAAAATCAAAGCTTAAATGGCATTTTTTTCATCAGGATTTCATCTTAATAAAGATGTTTTCCCTTTTTTTTCTTTCTTTTTTTTGTTTCTTGTCGCCAGATGCGTTTGATATACATTGTGTTTTGTTACAATCTTGGCACTTTGAACTTCATCAAAACTTTGACAGTAACTCTTCATCTTAATAAGACAAAAACAAAGGTGCTGGACGTTCATCCTTACAGACATTTATAGCATAACTTTGATTTATTCTGGGATTATTCTCCACCCGCCACTCCATTTACCCAGAGAGAAAATGTATTTGATTTAAGAAGATGAAAAACACAACAAAATAGTTGCAATCCATCAATTTCCTGTTGTTGTTGTTTTTTACAAGAGATCAGATCTCATCCTTTCCTTGTGATTAATCACACTAGAATAACCCCATTCCAGGTTAACAGGTAATCTTCAATTTACGATCACAATTGAGCCCAAAATTTATTAGAATTGTTAAGCGAGACATCTGTTAAGTGGATTTTGCCCTATTTTATGACCTTTCTTGCCTCAACTCTTAAGTTGATAAGTTAGTAACCCAGTTGTGAAGTGAATCTGGCTTCCCCGTTGAGTTTGCTTGTCAGAAGGTCGCAAAAGGGGATCACATGATCTTGGTACACAGAAACGGTCGTAAATATGAATCAGTTGCCAAGCATCCAAATTTTGATCACATGACCCTGGGGAATGCCAGAAAGGTCGTAACTGTGAAAAATGCTCATAACTCACTTTTTTTTTCAGTGCGGTTGTAACTTTGAACCATCACTAAATGAAATGTTGTAAGTCGAGGGCTGTCTGCATTTAAATTCTGTTTCTCTAAAGACTTTTTGCTCATCAGCAAGGGACACCAGTGAATACAAATAAACAACCAATCAGGAGAGCCTGGGGAAAAAAATCACAGTACAATAATTGTAAATGTCCAACATGACAATGCTTTATAATAATGTTGCCTTACTTCTAATTATAGCTAACTTCACACAGGGAACCCATCCATCAGTTCTTATTAAAGTCTGCCCAATGTTACTGGAAGGATATTCATCCTGTTAGACAAAAATGACAAATTTTAATGAGCTTTATCTCCTACAAAGTACATTACCACTCCGGTAGCATTGGTTACCTCTTCCCCCCCCTGTAACGGATGCCAAAGGTTGTGGATGTTACTCTCTTGAAACTTGAGCTAAATGCATGATAAATCTGGGGGATGACAAGCAAGCCGGCCTCAGTTAGACATTGGACAGACACATTCAAGTTATTAGGCAGATTAAAAATGTAATAAATCAAGAAGAGGAACCTCTCTCTTAATTTGGTACCGCTTCAAGCTGCCTTTTGGTCTGTGAGAAAAATAAATAAATAAATAAAGTGCCAGGCTTCAGTAGGTGATAGGAACATGTATTTTTATCTAACTTTTCACATTCAGTTTGAGTAAGGACCTTGCTTGTTCCAAAGTGGAAAAGAGGGTTGAATAGAGGTAGTGCTTGACTTACAATCATTGCTTTAGGGACCGTTCAAAGCTACCATGCTGAAAAAAGTGCCTTGTGACTGGTCCTTGTACTTATGACCGTCATAACGTCCCCACGGTCATGTGATCAAAATTCAGGTACTTGGCAACCAGCAATTTTTGAAGGTTTCAGCGCCCCGAGGTCACGTGATCACAATTTGTGACTTTCCTAGCTGGATTCTGGCCAGCAGAGATATTGGGAGAAGTTGGATTTGATCAACAGTTACATGATTCATGTAACATCTATGGTGATTAGCAAAAAAAAAGGTTGTTTTCAGACATGACTCATTGAACGACAGCTATTCTGGTTTCAGTTGGTCATAATTTGTGGACTTCCTGGAAATTCTGACTGAGGAGGGCTTGTGAATTATTTAATTCAATGAATGGTTTGATTTGAATGGCTTGTCTTTCATGGAACAATCCCCTATCCAAGGATGCTTTGGCTTCCAACGTTTGTCATGCAAGATATCAGGAAGTGGATTCTTCCCAAGGATTTTCAGTAGCAGGAAGCTTGTAGCAAACTAGCTGAGCCACCTAATGTGAGGTTTGCAACTTTTGATTGGCCCAAAGTCACCCTAAGGGAGGACTAGTACCCACCGTCTCCTGGTGATTGGCCCAAAGTCATTCAGCTGGCTTTTGTGTCCAGGATAGGACTAGAACTCATTGTCTCCTGGTATCTAGCCTGCTGCTTTAACCACTAGATCAAAGTGGTTTCTAAAGTTTTCTAGAGTTTCACCAGGAGAGCAACATCACTGATAACTTGTTAAAAACAGGCTTTTGCTGGAACTTGGAAGTTTGTATATAACAAACGTTTCATGACTTACTTCCACATAGTACTTACAATTTATCAGAAATGTATTCACAAATCAGATTTCTTTATTCATCTTTCTAGTTGGCTGTCCATTAATCCTAGCAAGAAAATCTCTGGTTTCATCTGAATGTTGATCTTTAAAATTCTTCATATAATTGTATGTGTTCGAATTCAAAAATCTCTAGCTCTTTTTACAAATCCATCTGCATGACACATTTGCTTCTTAAAAAGGTCTTGTTTTCCATCCATATTTTCTTTCTTTTTTTTCTTTTTTTTGTGTGTGTGACTTTGTGCAGCACAAAGTGTATGCAGGCACTCCCTAGCGAGATCCGAAATTTGCTGTAGCTTTTACGGTGGTCATTGTTGAATGAGTCTGGAAATTTCCAGAAGTGATTTTTATGAGGCGTGTGTAGGATGGAGGCACAAGACAGAGGCAGGAGGAAGATGGTAATTTAGATTTATTGTTGAGAAAAAGACTATAATTTTTGAGGCATTAGAAGAAATGGAAAAATTGCTTGCACTGTTAGAGAGGTGTGGACTGCAATTCAGAGACTATAAAGGCACTCAAGTCAAAAACCATTTCTCTTTATTGATGCATTGTAATTATCTTCAGATCCTGTCTATAAGGAAGCAACGAAGAGTTTTTAAAAATATTTGTATGCACAAATGCACAGAGGCATCCTTGTTGATACGTGTTTATTGAATCAGCTTCTAGAACAGACAGGTTTAAATGCCATATAGTAATCCCAGATTGCAAATGGGCCAAAGATCAACAGGTGCAGCTCTTTCTGCGGAACACAATCATCCAAACATCACTCACACCCATGCTAAGGAAATCAAGCAAGAGATTCCGCATTAGATGTCTGAACTAAAAATATTGCTGGAGGAGAAATAGTCTTGAGACCTTTAGAGAAAGGGGTGCAGTGAAGTAGGGGTGTTACACTGGTGGCTTGCGGGCCGGATGCATCACACAGGCCACGCCTGCCCTAGCTCCACAAAGCCACAAAATGTCAAGATACGTCATGATACGTCACATGATGCAATCGAGTTTGACACCCAAGCCGTAGAGATTTTTGCAACGTCAAAAGGTGTGAACACAAACAATAGCAACACCTATTCTTGTTGTAGGGCAACAATTCTGCAAAATTATTCTAACCCTCAAGGGGGCAGGCTGGCATAGGGGCTGTGCTGATACTGATGTATGTATGTATGTATTTACTTACTAACTCACTTACTTACTCACTTTGCTTTTTTAATTCTATGTTTTGGAAGTCATTTCAGTGTTGATGCTCCCTAAAATTTGACCTTATTGACAATAAGAATCAACAGGAGCACACAGAGGAAAGTTGGGGAAAGATTTGATCACACTGTCATAGCTGACAATCTTTGACCACCCTTCCCCCACCCCCCAGGAATGCCCACGTAAATTGGGAGAAAAAAACATGTTGTAATAAGTTTCATTATAAAATTATAAGGAAAATTTTATTTCCTTGGAACAGGACATGTAACCTCATCTGCAAGATATATATATATATATATATTGCAAGCTTTCTGATGCCTTTTAAAATGTTTCATGGCTGAAGTCTCGGTAGCATTTGAAACATGGCAAACAATGAATCCAGTCTAACACAAAGGTTAAAAGCAGTTAACTGAGGAACAATAAAATCTTTCCCTAGTGGATAATCTGCTGGATTCCATCTCCTTTTCAAAATCCATGTTGCCATTTGTTAATTCTGAACTGATTTTTTTTTTTCTTGTAAGAGGATTGTAAGGACAGATGCTGGAATTTCGTAAACAACTAAGCACATATTCATCTCTGCCAAGTTAGTGTTTTAAAGCCAAATAACTGTAACCAATCTATCATTCTTGGTTGCTAAATGCTTTTTAATAATTGGGCTGCCATATATGATAGACATAACATTTCAGAGGATTTGTGTGTACATTTCCTGCCGTATATCCAAGGAAACTCTCTTATATACTGCTATAAACTGTGTTACGCTTTTTTTTTTTTTGCTTTATTTGTTCCATAACTAAGCTTCCCTATAAAAAATAATATGTAAGCATCTTTGGTGCAATCCTCACTTGGCTGCAATTCCTGAATTTCCTTCTAGAATGCAAAATTCATCTGTGATTTGATGAAAGATATATAACTCCGATCGTCTTAGGAATAATTGGTGTATCTGTTAAGAACAGCTATTGCTACTGTCCCAAAGGTGCTTTTTCAAAAAGTAACTGGACTTTCTTTGTTTTTCCTTGAAGACCTTTCACTTCTCATCCAAGAAGCTTCTTCAGAACTGAGAAGCAAAACATCTTCAAGGAAAAACCTTTTGAAAAAGGATGTCCCTTTGGAACAACCGTGACCTAGATGACTGAGAATCTACATACACAAATAATGTTACTGTTCTGATAAGATTTTGGGAGGTAAAAAAGGACAAAAACCAATCAAGCAAGCTCATTAAGCTTTGGGTGAACATGTGAAATCCATAATTTCCACAACTATGTTTGTAAACTATCCCATCATAGACGTCCATCTACTATTTATTTTCACGCCCTGGGATTCTTTAATCTTATACTAGATGTTGTTGTGCATTTCCCCCCCCCAAAGATTCTAGCGACTTCCACATATTTGTTCGTTGAAACCAAGTATTGTTCTTGCTCAAGCTCAAATGTGAAAATGGGTACCTTCCTTTTAACATATTGCTGCCCCCCCCCAAAAAAAAACCCTGAAGAAAAATACAGGTAACATACAAATACATGCAACAAAGCATTAGTGGCAGCTTTTGACCAAGAAAGTCATAAATATTTAAAAACAGTCTGCCCTTTTCATCAGAAAGGGCAACAAGCAGTTGAAAACCATATTTACAATCTTCCATCTTCTGTCACGGTGTTCGTGTTGCGGACGGATTTCCATCTTTCACTTCTAAGTTGTGCACTTTAAGTCTTCACAGCCTGACCCTCCCATCAAGTAAAATAAATAAAAAATGGTGGCATTTACCCAACAGGCCAGCGGACATTTGTTTTAGATGGCAGAAACTCACAGCTTACTTGTTCTTCTGAGCTGGCAGAATTCAGTTTTGAATGACCACTTGGATCCACTTTGCTTGGATCCACTAAAAGCTGACTTCCTATTAACTGGCATTATTCACACGGAAAAAAGTTAAGACAACACAATTCTCAACGTTGAGGGCGAAACTGTCTTGAATTTTCAGAGCAGGGAAGCAGAGTATATTTACTTCTTGGAGCAGAGACTTAACTAAACCAAATGCCAAAATTCCTATAATGGAGTTTTATGATCATCTTCAGTGATCAATTTGGGACATTAGATTGCCTATTACAGGCTTAAGAATACTGTCTTCTACCTCCGACTTTTGTTTTCCAGTCCATTTTCTACAAAGAACTATGCCTTGAAACATTTGAGAAGGCATTCAGAAAAAAAAACATTTGGGCTCCTAATTTCCGACATTCATTTCAGGGGAAAAAATCAAAAAGAAGAGCTTTGCTTAATGGTTACCTTCTTCTTTAATCACACTGAAAAATCTCCACTCTAAAGTATACTTAACAATTTATTCTGAAAGTATCCACAAGAATGCATGATGCAGCGTTTTCACTTAATTTTGTGCTTTGTGCACAAATGTTTAACCTTTGGCAACTGCAGAGAGAAATAGGGCCAGAGAGATGGGAGGTTAAGAAATATGAAACATGGATGGATGGATGGATGGATGGATGGGGAC